GATAAGTTTGGTGGTAGACATTATATGTGTTGGATACACAAATACGGAACTCGTGTACCAAATACAGGGGTTGTGTATATGTGACTATGTTTGTTGTTGAAGTAGTAAGAGATGTATGTGTATTGTGCGGATGGTTTGTCTTCTAGTACTTCTCTGTGTATGCATTGGAACGGATACGGCTGCACAATCCTGTATAACTGAATCATCAAATTGGTTATACGGTCCTCCTCCTGAGAAAATGGTTCGAAAATCTTAATAAGTATTGTGCATATGATATGTTGCGTGTAAGTAGATATTGTGTTTAATTATGATTCCTCAGCCAGATTATGTTGTTTATGATTTCTGGGAATGAGGCATCTAGATATGGAACAATAGATAAGGAAAGAGTTGATAGTTTAGAATTATGGTCAATGATATTAGAGTCTGATAATGTTGAAAGTTGGGAAGTTTCTAAACAGTATCAAGATTAATATACAGCTGATTTGTATCAGTTGTTTATAGGTAACAAGTTTGCTTCTGGTGCACATAGCAGGATTTATAGAGGAATTTACAAGCAAAGAGTCGAGGAGCATTTAATTTGCTTCTCATTCTATATGTTTTCCCTTTTCATTCTCTCTGTCTCTTTCAAATTTGCCTCACTTTGCAAATTCAACTAGCATTTACATCTATATTGTTTCATATATGTGGATATGAAGAGAGGTTCTATAAGTTCTTAATGTGAATGGTTGATGGGATTACTTCTACTTCTTGTGTCAGATTCATACTATACCTACTTCTGTTCATAAATTACAATATATATTATCTTATTCTTCCTTTCACTTTGGGTTATTGGAGATGGCGTTTTCTTGTAAATGACTTTTTGTTGCAGAATAGCTTAGCTTGATACTATATTTTCGTTTAGCTTGAATATCTAGTTGTATTAGCATTTAAAATTCACTTTTCACATTAAAATCACATTCCAATATATTTGGATAAGAATGTGAATAATCAGCTTCATGTTTCTTTTGAAGAAATTAGAATCCTTAAAGTAGACAAGAAGTTGTGTTGGAGTTGACTGGTTAATTGGATTTGAGTTTAAATCATCTGTAGGTGTTTTAGTTCCTGTTTTTAAAAGCATCTGACTGTGTTCCAAGAGCTTAATGGGGAACCGTAGAAGTGATTATCATGGACCATAAAGTCATCTGTTTTCATATGTACTATTTTGGTTGTTTTGTCACAGATTTGTTGTTGTTCAAGCTATTATTCATGACTCGTAATCCTTATTCCACTACTTCTGAAAGTAGTTTCATCTAAGATGAAGTAAAAACAAGTTTTGGATTTCTCTCAACTCCATATGCTACTTTATCTACCTATTCTGTTCTGCTCCTTTCCTTTAGATACAACACCATCTCTCGCGGAGGCATATTTGAATTGTTATTAACGCTTAGGATATCTTCATCAAAATGTCTGAAACTGAGACACCTTGCTGTAGTTGTTATCCTTTGCAATCTGTTTTTTCATTACACTTTCTGATTTCACTACCTTTGAATGTAAGCTGTTACGTATACATAGTACCTAATCTGTCTTATTTTCATTTGGTGACTCATTTTCTGTAATGGGTGTTTGTTTCTTATCTAATATGTTCTCCACATTGAATAGCTCAAGCATATTTATTTAGTCTACCGAGTGAATATTACAACTCTTGGTTCATTTCCTTTGTGATTTTGGAACTATTCCCTGTGTTAGTTGCCACTAATAAGTGATTGATTAAAAGCTGGAATACTTCTTATAACGTTAGAGTTACTGGTGGAGAATTTCCCCTGTGACTCATTTCTAAGAAAAAAGATGATTTTTTTAAGATAAAATTTTTTTATCTTAATATTTCACAAATTAACATCAGTAAATATTATATGGAGGAAAAATGCATGTCCCAGATATTATACTTGCTCTAGAGTGTAAGATGATCAAATATAGAAGATAACACTGAAATCTTCTAGCCACTTATGATAAATAGGTTTCACTTTATAAAGTTGAAGAAACCTCTACCTGTTTTCATTGTATAGCTCGTTCTTCAATTGTAATACCTGGCACATGCATCCTTCTAGATCAGCAAATAGAGCTAGCAGCTCCACTATGTGGCTCAATCAAGTCTTCAATGGAGCCTTCTTTTCACGGTCAGATATAAGAGAAGGACCATTAGAATGTGATTTGAGCCAACCTCTACCTCCTCCATCTTCCTTCTCATTTTTCTTAACAATCTGCACCACATCTTCATCCACAAGCATTTGCGCGAGGACACCATACTGGGGGAGTGCCTTGCACTAGTACCTCACAACAACACATACTTCACATCCTTAACAAGACTCCTATGTATGTGATTAGAAAAATCTTCTACTGTACATCCACCTCTATCAGCAGAAAGGACCACAGAATCTGTGATGTCTGGTTGCTGGCCTTCAGGCTGTGTAATCTCTCACAAGAACCATAACTTCCCACATTTTTGCAAGCAATCTGTCCAGATTCAGCTTCATGTTGCAGCTGATGACAACGGAGTTTGCTCGTCGGGCTATCTGTCTACATCATCAATACCAACAATATCTATCTTGTTGTAGACATAAATGCACTTCATGTATTTATAATTGCCCTCAATAACATCAATTAGGTCATCCACTGTAGCATCTTCATGAAATAAAACCTTAGCATTGTGGATCTCTTATTCATGTCGAATTTAATAGCATAGCTTCTCATCCACATGTATATGATGAAGAGTTATTGAAAGAAATACCACCAGTCTTTTTCTTCTTGAAGTGTATCTGAAGAGGTCTCTTGTTTAATCTCAGCCCCACCGCTTCCAGCTCTTTTGTCAATATTTGCCGATGGCCTTCACTTTTTGAAGCATCGAGAACCATTAATACAATGTCCGCTAACTTAGAAATAGCAATGACCATTAGTGCATGTATATTTTCTGGGTACGAGTCATCTCAGATTCAATTTCTTTAATCCTCTTTACGATCACTATGGTTCTCTAGTTTATCTGCATAACAATTCGAACCACGGAGCTCAATTGAGATTCCGGCGGCCGACTACTGGATTATGCTTCTCCATCCATGAAGTGAGTTTGAAGTAAAAGATAGCAAAAGAAGAGCAGTCGTTCGCCAAACTGGAGGGTTGAGAATGAAGAATACCTCCAAAAAGAACTAGTGTAGCAAAAACAGTGAAAGAAAAAGAACATGAACACGAAAGGATAACCTCTTTGGGAGAAGTTGCAGAACATATAAGTGAGCCAGTTGATGTGATGATAGTTGATCCAACAACATAGAGTTGAATAAGAATGTCTGTTTTCATAGTCATATTTTTGATTTACTCATGTAGTCCTGCATTTTTCATATGTATAATAAAACTACTTCTTTTAGTTCTAATTGTGCAGCTAAATATAACAACTAGTATTTTAAGAACCTTCCCAATTGCTAGAGACAGAAATAATATTGTTTCCTCTCAAAATCATATGGATTCTTCGATCAAATTACAAAATGTTACAGAGCAATTGAAGGTATATTTTCTTTCTATTTTCCTTTGTCAATATTTTTTATGCACATTGAGTGACATTGTTTGATGTTTAAAATTATTCACATTTTCCCGGATGTATTGACATTCCCCATTTTTCATTCAGGTTATTGTCATGGGAAGGCATGAAGAAAACTAGAGATCCAAGCCCATTTGTCTATGTGTTCTCAATTATTAGATGAAAAATAATCCTGGAAAGTTAGCTTTGTACAGACTTTAATAATTATGACATGTTGCTATTGAGTTCTTCCCTCCATAAATGCATTTATCTTATATTTTGGAAAATCATCTCTAGTCCTTTTTCTTGTAACTTTGTGCAGTACACTGTGCTTGTGGTTTGTTTTTTTGACAGAATGATGTGTTCATATATCTTTGTAGCAAGTCATTTCCAAATATTTCATATATGAGGATCGGAAATATGTTTTTTTATAGAAGGGAACCACATTATCAACATTTTTTTCGTCTCTACGTTTACAAGGTGATAGGATAGTGTTAGATGTCTAAATATTGTTCATTCTCATTCCTTTCGTCTTCTGATCTGAAACAGTAAATTGTTTGTACCAGCATGACAATGTTCTGTTCAAGACTGGAAAGGTGGTGTAGGTTCTTCTCTATCTCTTCTGTCGCATCATTGTTTTTTCTAATCAAATATTCATGTTCGTGGGAGTTTAGAATAATA